TTACATTACCTGCCTCAAGGAATGGGCCAGAGGGTGCAACGATCTATATTCTTGCATTTTCCTCTGATCTGGGCTCAAGGGGATGACCTACTCCTGGTATCCCTCTCTGTCCGTGATCTGCACGTGAAATTGTCTACCTTGGAACACTGGTGTGCCACGAACTTGATCCTCGTCCACTTGATCAAAATGATCATTTTGATGTTTCGACCGATGCTCTCGCTGCCTCCCACTCTCCATCTTGGCACCACACAGCTCACCATAAAAACGGACGAGAAATACATAGGCATCCACATCCGAACAGACAAACAGAATATATTTGAAGACCACTATAAAGCCATGGCACGCACCGCGCGCTATTGTGGACATCGAATTATGGTCATTGAAGACATGACGGGACGTCTAACGCCAAAGGAACTCAGGCAGCTTTATACGGCACGCGCCGATTGTCACTTGATCCACGGATGCGAGATTGCTCCGGACAGTGAAGACGTGCACATCAAGCTCTTAATGAAAGTTCAAGTTAGCCTCATATGTCAAATGCTCAATCTCCATAGCCGCTCCATGATTGCGCCCTTGTTCACAGAAACTGGGTTATTGCCTCTCCGAGTCCGACACCTTCTTCTCATTCTTAGCCACTTGGTGTATTTTCTTGGTCTTCACGATGATGCATATGCCCGCGCTGCTCTGAATAGTTCAATTGAACTTTCTAGCCAGGGGGAAAATCATAGGCCAAAGATCTCATCAAAGCTGCGAGGAGACTTCCATTCCACTGCCCTGTTTTGGTTCTGTCGCACTCTACATCTATTGTAGACATCGAGAACTATGCTAAACTTGTGCAGCGACTCATGTCGGGATGGTTGCAAGAGGAAATTGACTCATCTGACAAGCTCTATCTGCTGCACGGCCGTTGTGAACCCCAAAAGGACAAGGCACCAACACAAATAACTTCTTGTATACGGCACTACCTAACTCTGGTGAAAACTCAGAAGCACCGAGAGGCTATAACCTCTGTTCTGCTCTCTACTCACCTGTTAGCCGTGGAAGTCTTGCGTTATGTCGATCATGCGCATCAACCTGTGCCTCGATCGGAGCGGTTGTGTAGGTTTTGTAAATCGGAGGTTGAGACCCCCGAACACGCCTTGATCTCATGCGAGTCCTCGACTGCATTGACTGATCTTAGAGCTGTGCTTCTTGGGAAACTCTGCTCTGATTTGCCAAACCTGGGACACCGAATGGCGGAACTCTCAAACACTGAGTTCCTCAAAGCCATTATTTATCCGAGATCGACTATCGCACTCGTTGCTAAGTATGCTTTTGATGTCCTTGAGGTGTTTTACGCTGTTCCGGTGTTCCGTTTAGATGCTTGAGAGGCTAACCCGTTGATGTGCTGATATTTTTCGCTTTTTTATATTCGTTTAGTTCTACCGCGGCGAGTCTAACTGCGTCCGTGAGCTCGGCTTGATGGATATAGGAAGGCCCAGGGACGAAGGTGTAAATAGTGCGTGTACACCGGGAAAATTCCTGGAACCGGCGTTCATGAGTTGGACCGGCCGTGTAATCCTACCTACCTACCTACCTACCAACAGACGGCGGCCGACGAGCTACAATGTATCACTCCCTCTCCAGACCGAAACGCGCTCCAGTTGGTCCAGCGGAATCAAATTTCAAAAAGCTGGGATATTCACAAGATATTGACCTCGACCAATTAAGGTGGAAGAAGGTGAATCTGAATCGCCTGTACATCCTTAACGCGCCTCAGTCACTGCTCACCAACAATTTGCAGCCCAATTTACACCGCGGAGTCTCTGCGTTACATACCGCAGAGAGCTCCACTGGAGTCTGGACAGGCAAGCTTCAGTGATGACCAACTCGGAGGATTCGACACGGCAATCATCCGCAAAAAGTTGCTCCGGCCCTTGGCCTTCGGGCCTGGGCGACGAGGATCTGTGAAAATCAATCAAACATCCAACAAACATCGGCAAAAATGTTTGGTGAACGACGCATAATTGTCACTGCGCGAATCTCCGTGTGCGTTGTTAAGACTCACCGGCGGAAACTCTCCCGAAGCACATTGGACTGAAAAAATAACCCGGTTGCATCAATTGGCATTCGGGCGCATCTGAATACCAAGGGACGGGCCCGCAACAAAAAACCACGTCGCCACGGGAGCTGGTCAGGGCATGTGAAATTCCACCTAATCTTCTCCGAATGCGCCCGCTACGATGAAGCTTGAATTGGCTCCGACAACGTTCCCCACGACGGCCTGCACTGTTCCCTTCGTGCACGATGTTGTTAACTGTGCTCGTTTGCAGCTGGTACTTTAGCAGCCTCGCAAGATAACTCGCGATGCAATGGCGCAAGAACCGGAATCTGGGGATACCATTCTTCCAACGCTATCGGGTTTATCATCACAAATTCTGGGTTTCAGCGTTCGATCAAAACTGATGGACAGTCTTTCTCCCTCGATCCGCTCGACGGTAGGTTTCAGCGCTCGAACATAAAGCGGCACCGTCCATCATGAGGTAGGTTCTCCCGCGTGTCCTGCATTTGTTTCCTTTCCCTCGCGCTCACACACTCTTTTTACGAGCGCAAAATTCGCACCATGCTTCTACAGTCCTTCGTCTTCATTTCGACCAGTTACGCGGTCCAAGCCGCGGTTTTCCCTCGCCAAACCGTCAGCCCATATACCATCCCTCTGGGAGCCGCCGCCAGCGCTGCTCGCGCGGAAGCCATCTCCGCGACTCGTGTCAACTTCACTTACGGTCCAGACATCGCCGGCAATGGGCCCTTTTACCCTACAGGTCCTCTGGGCGACGAAGTCACACAAGCCATGACCGACGACTTCTTCGGTCTGCAGCTTCCCTGGACAGCCGCCGTCACCTCAGATGCTGGAACTGCAGCGCAAAACGTTGTCGCGGTGAGTTCCCCATGAGATTTGGCGCGCGCGCAGGTTGTATTGATTGGACGATTGTAAAGGCCGGTGGACTCAACACCTTCGACGACTACAAAAAGCTCTACAACTCGGGCAACTGGGAGTCGACCATGCCTTCGGGTGTGGTATCCGGTGCGCTTACGAATGGAAGCTCAGACCTCCTCTTCGCTATGGAGAGGTTGTCTATCCAGCCGTACAGCATACGCCGCATCAATGCCTCGGAGACACTGTCCTTCACCGTCGATGACGCCACTGCCAAAAACTTGACCACCTTGACCCATGCGGCGCTCCAGAAAGCCGGTCGCCTCTTTTATATCGACTACCGCCGCCTTGCGGAACAGCCATTAATCGAAGGTCGCTACGCCGCGGCCGCTGATGCCTTTTTTTTTCTTCATCCGATCTCTGACGATTTCCTTCCCCTCGCTATCAGGGCCAATAACGGCAGCCCCTTGATCTACACGCCGCTCGATACCGCCAACGACTGGCAGTTGGCCAAGATGCTGTTCGCACAGAACGATATTTGGTGGGGCGAGTGGTACCACCTCGTCGCGACGCACGAAGTCATTGATCTCGTATACGCGGCTGCGTACCGTACCCTCAGCACCGACCACCCCATACTCGCTCTAATGGGCCGATGTAAGACTTCGTCATATAATATTCTCGCGCACTTGCTGATTTTCCCTAGTGGCCTACCAAACCTGGGCGTTCCGTGTCTCCGCCATCAAAACGCTCGTGAACGATGGAGGTCCCGTCGACGAGTTATTCTCATGGTAAGCGATGCATTGCATTAGCTTTTGGCATTTGGCAAATACTAATCGCGTCGAAAACAGGCGTGGATCGACTGCTTCCAACTTCTCCGACACGCTCTATTACGAAACCGCCGGCAAATGGCAGTCCAACTACTTCACCACGCACCTCGCCGCGCGCGGTCTTATCAATAGCAAGTTCGGCCCCGCCCTCAAGTCCTTCCCCTTCTTCGAGGACGCTTCCGTCGTCACCGACGCGATCAGGACCTTCATGACCACCACCGTCAACGCGTACTACCCCAACCCGGGTATGGTCCGCGCCGACCAAGAACTCCAGAACTTCATCGCGGAGGCTGTCCCGGCCGAGATCTTCGACTTCCCTACGTCCCTGACCACGAACAGCGGCCTCGTCGACATCATGACCCATTTCGCGTACCTGGTCAGCGTGTTGCACAGCGTGATGAACAGCAACGAGGTCGTCCGCGCCCAGCTGGTGCTGCCCTACCACCCCGTCGCGATCTACGCGCCCCTCCCGCAGACCAAAGGCGTCCAGGACCTCGCACCGTTCCTCCCCGCGCTCGATTCGGCTGTCGGGCAGATCCTGCTCGGCGGCGCGTTCAACCGCCCCAACTTCATCGCGAACAAGACGTACGTCACTCTGGACGAGATGTTCAGCGAGCCGACGCTGCTGAGCCGCTTGAATGCGCCGACGCAGAAGGCCGCTGGGGTATTCAAGAGTGCGATGCAGGCGTTCAGCAAGGTCGTCAGCGGTCGTACCTTCGACGCTGAGGGCTTGAGCCAGGGGATGCCGATTCTGTGGACCATTTTGGATCCGCTTACGACGCCCTTCTGCTTGTCGGTTTGAAGTTCGTGGTCGTTATCATTATTAGAAGTTTGTTGTTAGAATACATATATATTAATCGTTTTATTTTGTTAGAGACGACGATTGACCTCGATTCCACCAAGGCAGAATGAACTTGATTGTTTTCTTCTAGCCATGACGCGGTCGAGTTTGATTTCGGCCAACTTGCACCCGAGCGTGCACCCTCGCGCGCCGCGCTTTGCCCAACGGCATGCGTCAACATATTTTCTTCTCCTTCCTGTGCATGACTCAGACCGCAAATGAAGACCGCAAGTGATTCGAGAGCGCTTTCCGGATAATTCGGACTCAATTTCGCCCCTCACGCGATTTTGATTTTGCAGCAGAATCCAACGGCACGCGAACCCAACCCTAAACTTATTCGTTCCATCAACAAGCTCCCACTCTCTATTTTCTTCGTAAGAATACCAAAAACAAAACAAAACAAAAGGCGCTAAGGGAACAGCCTGGCCTGGATTCGAACCAAGGCCTCCCGCTATCAAGAAGAGACGTGGCTCCTAGTTGTTTGAGGGCGTGATACATTCCGCCACCAGGACGCATTCTTACTGAATGAGTCCTTGTATTATGCAGGAAGGATTGCGAGGCCAATTTCGATCCCCACTAAAAAACGGAAGAAAAGCGAAGGACGGCTATATGGACATGACCGTGTCTCAGCTGGTCCGAACCAGGAACTTCCGTGCAAAGCTTCCATAAAACACCCTCAATATTGGTCGGCGGGATACCTTCCGCTACGTCTTTTTTCGTACTGATTTGCTCCTCGTTTGTTCAAGACCTTGGATGTTATTACCTTCGTTACGTTGATTTCATGGTGACCGAAATCGGGGCCTCGATGAAATTCAACCAGTACCGCGGCAATGCGAAATTTTGCAGCGGCGCAAAGCTACAGGGGCACTTTCGAGGTGCGTGAAACATTTGCGACCGATATGTGTTTTGAGCAGAAGTGCAATTCGCTCTTTCTTTAGTGGGGAGAGGAGTGAACAAGTATGACTAAATTGGCAAGAAACACAGGTCGGACAAACGGTAAGCTCGATGTTAGTAGAGTTGGGAGCAGGGAGTGGGGAGCCGGTCTATAAATCCCAAAGAGCTGCTTCGACTTTCTTGGCTGTGTGCTCTACCATGTATTTTGAGTATAACCTCACTCACTCGTTTTGCGGTGCGAGAGCGGCGAACAAGTGCTACTACATTGCGGGCGAATAAGACGGAGTTGCGAGGAACAAATGGTAAGCGGGCAGGATGCAGTTTGAGCAAGATGGACTGCGTGAAATTAACGCAAGGAATCTGTGAGCGGGTGTGAGACGGGGAGATGGAAATGCAGGCCGCAATGACGTACCAGTCGGTGGGGCTACAAGAAAAGCTGATCTGCAAACGGAAACCATATGTGAGTTGGGCGCAGGAAGTGCGGAGGCGCCCTAGAATTACTAAAGTGTTAATTCAACTTTCTTCCAGCCCTCGTGGGAGGCGACAACCAGCGTGTCGGCCATGTGCGCCGGAAGGTCTTCGCACAAGGTATCGATGGTGTTCAAATGAGGAAATATAGCGGACAAGAATTTAGCGATGGGGCGTGGTTTGCTGATGAGGGAGTATCCGACATGGAGGCGGTCTAAACTGTTTTGGGACACTCTCTTCCTCGCGTTGAGTTTGATTTTAGGGACAACGGTGGCGTCGAAAGTCATGCGCAGTACCTGCAGACGAGGGCAGTGCTTTGCGAAAGCATAGATGCCCTCGAGGGTTACCCGGGAGGTGATGCGATGAGAGCGGTCGGATGAGAGCAATAGTGATTCGATAAGAGGCCATGCACAAGCCATGTCCTGGACCCAAATGTCGTCTAGATCAAAGCCGGCCGGGTGTGAGAGCGACACCTTAACAAGATTGCCGAAAGAAAACACAGGTTTGAGGATCTCTCCTTCAACCGAATATATGTCAAGTTGATTGACACTGGGATTCCAAAAACGCCCATCTATCCTTAATTTTTGAAGCGACGAGTGTGAGCAATTTGTGGCGAGAGCGGAATAGAATTGCTGGGTGGTCGTCTTTAAGGCCGGGACGCTACGACCTCTTGAGATGAGCGTGAACTCCTCCAAAGAGCATTTTCTTAGAGTTTCAAGGAGTGCAGGGGCATGCTCCATCGTCTCGCACTTGAGCGCTGTGAGAGCAGGAAAATGAAGAAATTTTGGTGGAATCTGAGAGAAAGGGATGGGTGTATCAGAGCACATAAGCCACAGCGACCGGAGGCCAGGAAGTCGGGATATGTGGGAAATGGCTGCCTGATCCAGGCGGGCCACAACAAGTGATTCGATGTGGCGCAGCGTGCATACGAATCTGGATATGGCTGGTAGGGCGGCCGCGATGGGAAGGCCGGGACTTCCGAGGCTGAAATGCGTCAGACCCGTGCATTTGGGAGCCAGCGTCGAGAATATCGGTACGTGCGAGATGTTTTCGACAGTGATGTCGAGATTCGTGAGTCCGGGAGTAAGAAACAAGCCGATATGATGGAAAGAGTCGGCTGTATCGAGAAGCCAATATCGGAGCTTCTGCAGATTGGGAAATAGGTACTCCTCGGGGAAACACAAACTGAGGGTGTCGTAGACCTCCAGACTCTCAAGGGAGGCGTCTTCGTTGATGTCAAACGACTTCACGCGGTGGGAGTAAAAGAGGAAACGCTGCCAATCGACGAAGATTACGGGTCGTCGCAGAGTCTATGGATATAAGGATCAGTTATACAACAAAAAAGGACACTTGGATCTCACGATTTTAAGCTCCATTAATATTGGTTCACCATCTTCATCGCTGATTTGAGTCTCTGTAATCTCCCATAGATCGCTCGGCATACATCTGAGGAGGTTTATAATGGTACCCTGGTGCCTCCACAGGACGTTCAGAGCAGGGTGCAGAAAGATCGTGGACGTTCTAGCAAGCCGCGAGAGATCAGCGTGCGAGGCCGCCGAGGTGTACTTGCCGAGTTCTTCTGGGTCCAGCTGCGCACAGATCAACTCCACCAATTCGAGGGTCTTCAAGGCGCGATGCATTTCAGCGACTCATATGTCGTTGTGGGCAGAACCGGTCGAGGGCTCGAAAAAAGTGGTGGCAGGAAGAAAAGGAAGCGCTTGAGCCTCGGCGTTGATCCGAATTCCCATCACGTACAAATGCGCGTCAACAAATTTTGACCAGCTCGGGCAGTACAGTCGACTCTGTTTTAACCCATACTGTACCATTTTGACCAAAGGTACGATATGTCACCCGTCACCTCAATTGTTCACTGGATTTCAATGTTCCTTCCTCGGCAATCATAGGAAAATTACCGTAAATGGTAAGCCGGCGAATGCCGACCCCCAAAACCATCCGTCACCGTCACCTGGGTGAACTTTGTTCAGTTCACGACCCTCCGTCACCTGAAATTTGGTTGAAATGGTACAGTATTCTGCGGTACCACATACTTTTTCGACAGATTTTTGCCAAATTTTGGCAAAGATAACCCATAACTCGCAGTCACCTATAGCTTTTGGGTCCACCGAGGGGTGCGGGTTAGAACAGAGTTGACTGTACATACATCAAGTGAGTACATATTTGCCAATACTAGCTTTCATTCTGGAGCCATCTCCAATGCCCCGAAATTCTCCAGTATCTGGGTCAACTTTCCTTTCACTTGCGTCTTCGTTGGGGAAACTCCCAAGGTGAATGGCGAATCGGGAGCTTCCCCTCTATGATCGAACTAGGGAGATTCATCGCGGAGCTCGACCAACGGCCCATCGCGTGAGCTGCGCAGGTCTTGTCACCACTTTCTTTCACCTCGACCCACTGGTCCAACATCACTCTGCTTCTTCTCTTCATAAGCCCTGGACGATATTGAATCACGAATTTAGGGATGTCTTTCCCAAGATACTCGTTTTCGTTGAACAAATATGAATATAAACCAGACGCGCGGTGGACATTCCCGCTGTGGATGAATCTCATATATTAGCTAACTGGATTTCCTTCTCCTACTCGGCAGGGCGCAACTTCGTGGCACCGCGCTGGAATAGACCACTGCTGTTCACATTCAGCCTCCCAATAACCTGATACCGTCCAAATCCAAGTATTTTAGCGGGACCTTGTTTCGTTACAGAGCGTAACTTACAAGCACCTACTCGCTCACTCATCTATTAACTTGAACTTGACAGCCCGACGCAGCGCGATGGACATGCGGTTATTTTCTCAGCCATGCGCGAACTTCGAAGCTCAGATGTCAATTACTGCTCCGAGGAATCGTCGAGTGAGCCGTATGGACCGTGCCAACGCCTGGACGGAGTCACTATGCAAGTATTACGCCCGGTTGAATCATGGCGCATAGGCGGCCTTCCTTGCGTTGGGTCTGATTTGTGGTCTCCGTTCGAATCAATTAGGTTGCAGCTCGCGAGCTACTAATTTGTCCTGACTCGGAACCTTGTAATAGTAACCCTCATGATAATAAATGCCTACTCAATTGCGTGGCAGGCTCCCGGTGTACGCGGTCTCGCGGTGATTAGCGACGTCGCGTGGGGATCGTCACGGTCGCGTCATCCATAACCATCCGTCTCTGGCGCCAGGACAATTTTTCGATTTTTCTCCGGTATTCTACGTGCGCAATTTGTTCAGCCAGTCGACATTGGAGCAGGAGGACTCAGGGTAAGACTTCAATATGGTGGTCGAGTCATTTTAACCTGCTTAACTCCTAGCGAATCGCAGTTTCGCTTACTCCTAACCAATCGCAGTTTTTGCTTGACGTCGGACCTAGGGCTTCCCGATCAGTGATGAATATCGACGAATCGCGGTCAAGGGAAATCACGGGGGGGGCGTTCTGCTGGAATCAAGTTTGAGACCGGCAAACAATGGGGTGATATCAGCATCACAGCGGTAGAAGAGTGAATACATTTCGGAATATTTGCACACAGTATTTCAACTGCATAGCACATACCAGTCGGAACTTGTCTGAACTCGTCAAGAACTCGTGCCGGCGTTGTGCGGTGGGCTCACCGCGTAACGAGGACGACGTGTCGATTTTTTTCCACTCCAACCTGCGCCACAAGTATCAATGATGTACGACAGGTAACCATTCAAGTCGCGACGGCAAGCAGCCCATTAATAACCCTAATAAACCCGCCTCGTGACCACCCTTGTTCTCTACATCAGAATCCATGGAGCATGTGCAACATTGTGAGAGGCTGGGAGCCCGCGTCTGTCAAATGCATCTACATCAGGTGTTTGCGATGTCAATATCCGGAGAGATGGTAAGAAGATGGGCTCCATAGCTACGGGTATCTCCTTTCTGATTCAAGGTCTGTTCAAGCCTCTTTTCTGAGCTCTGCGGGCTTCCCGACCGCGGGGGGGAGGCGGGGAGGAGGCGTAGGTGCTGAGGAGAGTCTCAGAGGGTGCTGGAGGCACGAACCGTAGTTGTGGAAAATGTTCCGTAGCCGGCCATCACTTCCTCGCGATGGATGCAGATGATTGGTCCCACAACCATGGGAACGGTAATCGTTCCCAAGCTTCTGGCAACCAGGGTAAAATTAGCCGTGGTCAGGCC